TCAATGTAAGGTATCGTCAATGTCGGGTATCATCAATGTCAGGTATCGTCAATGTCAGGTATCATCAATGTCAGGCATCGTCAATGTCAGGTATCGTTAAAGTCAGGTATCGTTAATGTCAGGTATCGTCAATGTCAGGTATCATCAATGTCAGGCATCGTCAATGTCAGGTATCGTTAAAGTCGGGTATCATCAATGTCGGATATCATCAATGTCAGGTATCGTCAATGTCAGGTATCGTCAATGTCGGGTATCGTCAATGTCGGGTATCGTCAATGTCAGGTATTGTAATGTCAGGTATCGTCAATGTCAGGTATCATCAATGTCAGGTATCGTCAATGTCAGGTATCGTTAATGTCGGGTATCGTTAATGTCGGGTATCGTCAATGTCAGGTATTGTAATGTCAGGTATCGTCAATGTCAGGTATCATCAATGTCAGGTATCGTCAATGTCAGGTATCGTTAATGTCGGGTATCGTCAATGTCGGGTATCGTCAATGTCAGGTATTGTAATGTCAGGTATCGTCAATGTCGGGTATCGTGAATGTCGGGTATCGTCAATGTCAGGTATTGTAATGTCAGGTATCGTCAATGTCAGGTATCATCAATGTCAGGTATCGTTAATGTCGGGTATCGTTAATGTGGGGTCTCGTTAATGTCGGGTATCGTCAATGTCGGGTATCGTCAATGTCAGGTATCGTCAATGTCAGACAGCTACCATTATATGTTTATATTGTGTGTGTGTCGAGACCCCTGAAGTATTGACAGTGCTCAAACAGTCTCACTGACTTACGTCAATATTGTCATACAGCTAATGTTATGTATATTTATTATTTTACAAATTTATAGATTTAAATAACTTATAAACATAATTAAATATGAAGTTAAAAAGTAAATTCAAATCATTCAAGTCTAGCACAGTTGGCGCACTGACGTCACACAGTCCTAGTAGATTGTAAAGGGGGACAGCTTGACCTGTCCGTCCTCTGTGACGATGTCCGTCATTGTCATAAAGAATTGCTGATTGACGCCCTAAGCGACACGACAATGTCATGCATGTTAAGACTCAGCTTCAATATAGATAGATAAGCATAAATGTCAATCAGGTAAAGTCAACCTAAATCAACAAAACTGAAATGTGACAACAGATCGAGTATCGTCGTAAATACAATCACGATACATGGCGTTCGCTAAAGGTCATCGTTTCATCCAGCAATTATTTAAAAGAGGTGTCAAATGTTTAATAATTCAGGCGCTTCGTAAAATCTCGGTTGTTGCTTCTTCAAGGCAGACGTTTATCCAAGGATTTATGGAAAATTTAATTGTCAAATCTGACACAAAATCTAATAGGATCAATCCACAACACATTTGTGCATTGAGTGAATATATACTCCTCTGTATATACTATAGACTGCTATCGAGGACCCTGCCTTCCCTGTATTCAATCATAACCCGTCCAGTTTACCGAATATAAATATTTCAACATTTCGCCTTTTTTTCTGACTCCTGATCAGCTGCCATTCTACCCCCGCGGGGCAGTCGTACACCGCCACGGTGTCGCTGGCGATGGCGGGTTTCCTGCTGACGTGCCACGCAGTATGAGTCGGTAAACTGGTTTTATCAATCTTGGCAGGCTGCCTGCTTATCGCACCCAACTGCATGTCCTAGACTGGGTTTGGGGCGTAATAGCATCTATAGCAGCATATCCTATACTGGGTTCGTGGCCCCCATTGCGTCTAGTGCCATATCCTAGACTGGGTTCGTGGCGCCCATTGCCTCTAGTGCCATATCCTAGACTGGGTTCGTGGCGCCCATTGCGTCTAGTGCCATATCCTAGACTGGGTTAAGATGACATACGACTTTATTATCCAAAGGGAAATTCATGGTTCAAAGTTGATTAGCACTAAAATATGAAAAAATATATATCATAATAAAATATGTAAATAAGAAAATAAGACACTTGCTAATTTAACCACAGGTAAAAACACGAAGAGAATTAAACACTATCACAGAGACGACAAGGAATGGTATTAATTATATAATAGTATTAAACAGTTAATCATTTAAAAGACTAATACTGGCTGGTAAGAAATGAAATCCGGGTCCTGTTTGTTTTCAGCATTGACATGCGCAGTCGGCGGCCAAGAGGGAGAAACTGATACTCGGAATGAAGTATATGACGGCTGTCATTTAGTAAATTACGCGCCTTTTTGTACATTTTTCTGCTCATTAATTTCGCCGATGTGCTGAAATTGGGTACCTTATATTTTGCTTGACGTATTAAATTTTTTTATCAAGTTTTGATTTATTTTGAACAGACAGGCTCCCATACCAGCATATAACATCAAAAACTAAAATGCTTTGAATAAATGTTCTTTAAAATAGAGATGGTATTGTATTATCAGGTTTAACATACCTATGACGCCGCTATTGGCCCTTTTCATGCTCCGTGTTGGCATTCCAAGTGAGTTTGGAATCAATAATGTTGCAAAAATACTTATATTGTTCAACCAAATCAATATTTTCGTTATCAATAACAACACGCAGAATTTGGGTCTTCTTTTTTTCTGAAATCTATAATAATTTCTCTTGTCTTTTTTACATTTAGAGTAAGAAAATTAATATTGCACCATTGGACAGATTTTGAAATCAATTTCAGACTGCCTTATGAATACGGTGCCCATTGTATCTAGGGCATATCCTAGACTGGGTTCGGGGCGCCCATTGTATCTAACTAGATTGGGTAATGGGTGCCCATTGCATCTGGCTACATATCCTAGACTGGATTAGGGGCGCCCACACAAACTAGCGATACAGCCCAGAAGGGTTCTAGATTAAGTTTGCGGCGCCAATTGCATCTATAGTGACTTATCCTAGACTGGGTTCGGGGCGCCATTGTCTCTAGCGGCATATCCTAGACTGGGTTGGGGGCGCTCTTTGCATCAAGCGGCTTATCCTAGACTTGGCTCGGAGTGCCCATTCAATTTATCGGCATATCCTTAACTGGGATCGAAGCGCCCACTCCATCTAGCGGCTTATCCTAGACCTGGATCGGGGCGCCCATTCCATCTAGCGGCTTATCCTAGACTGGGTAAGGAGCGCCAACTCCATCTAGCGGCATATTCTAGACTGGGTAAGGGGCGCCCACTCCATCTAGCGGCATATCCTAGACCTGGATCGGGACGTCAATTCCATCTAGCGGCTTATCCTAGACTGGGATCGGGGCGCCCACTCCATCTAGCGGCTTATCCTAGACCTGGATCGAAGCGCCCACTCCATCTAGCGGCATATCCTAGACTGGGATCGGGGTGCCCATTCCATCTAGCGGCATATCCTAGACTGGGATCGGGGCGCCCACTCCATCTAGCGGCATATCCTAGACCTGGATCGGGGCGCCCATTCCATCTAGCGGCTTATCCTAGACTGGGTAAGGGACGACCACTCCATCTAGCGGCATATCCTAGACTGGGATCGGGGATCTTAAGCAAACAATACACATCCAGGTATACAAAAAAAATTTGCCGTGCGCTCCTGTTAAAAATAATTAAAACATTTACCAAAATATTATTTTAGTTTGTTTTAATTGTAGTAGGTTAATGATATATCGTTTTCGAATTATGCCATTTCCTACAAGTGAATGAAGAAGACATTTCCCCAGTCTAGATTTGGTCATAGCCTCTTTCGGCGTTTTACAACGGAACCGCCAATAAAGGCTCGTCAAGTTATTTTTTACTATTGTATAAGGGTAAAAAACATTTTAACTTTGAATTATTCATGCTATGTCTTTCTTCTTCACTGCAAAATATACGGGGCGTTTGATAACTTGAAGCCTAACAGCCAAGTTGATGCATATGACTGCAAAAAAATGTATCATTCAAAATCAATACACCGACGGTACAGAAGCCATTACGTTGAGCTAACGTGTGCTGTACCCAATCTCCTCATGTATACTGCAGAACTAATCACGGAATGTATGGGGAATTAATAGGCTGAAAATCCGGCACCGTAAATTCATACAGGAAACGTGTACGACTTCTAGAATCCTGATTCTGGTTCATCCTGATTGAAAGATAACCAATACTTATTTTGTAAATACAAATTTAAGCGAGGTAAAGCTTCATCTGAAAATGTCCCATTCATGTGTCAGCTGTTAATTTGTCCTTCATTAGCCGTTGCACAAATATATTGTGTGAGCATATACGTATCTACTGTTACGTCACTGTGAGGTACTACGAAGCTGTTGTACAGGTAACTTCATGATCCTGACCTCTGACCTTAATATCTGCGTCTTTTACATATGATGGGATCTGCTGATGGATGTGTTCTTCGACATCAACTAAAATTCAATATATCTCCATAGCCTTCGGGACCGCCTCTGTGGTCTTGTGGTGGAGCGTCCGCCGGACCGTCGGCCGCGTCATACCAAAGATGGTATTTGTTGTTACCCTGTCTGGCGCTCGGCATTAAGGGGCTAAAACAAGGACCGGTCGGCTCGAAGTCAGTATACTGTATCTCAGTGGGGTATTCATGTTTAACTGCGGCGTGTTATCTCAGTGTGCTAGCACTATAAATCGGCATCATTCCGGACTAGTGCAAGCAGCCACACACACACGTACATGCACGTCGCTCTGTAAGTGCAATAATCTTGAACGCGACGTTAAACCCCATTTCAACTCACCTCATCTATAGCCTTCGTGCCTTATTATGATATGTTCATAATCCGAGGTTTAAGTTCTCTCTTTTATACAGAATGCTACTCAAAAGAAGTTAACAACATGGCATGACAGATTAACTATTGTGATTAATGTGAAAGAAGCAGGCGTTCCTTATCTTCTTTTGAGTAGTATATATATAAAATATGCCGTTGGTTTTACTGTTCATTCCCCAAGAAATCTGTCAGCCATACACACAACTGAGCACTCCCCTGTTGTTATTTTGTTCAATTTCCAATGTCATGACTTATTTAACATTAACTTACAAGTGATTCTGTTCTTTTCCAGGCAACCGATCTGACGGAAGAGCAAATAGCAGGTGAGTTTTAAAGACTTTAGAAATAAATTTCTTCGATTTCGCGAATAAAGATTGATTTTTGATATTTGCAAACGTCAAATGTATTCAGAAAAGAGTATTGGGTTACATGTCATGACAACACTTCCGCCAGACTGCTTGAATATTTATGCACTGCGACGGCTCAGAATGACGTCCTTGGCGTTTCTCGGATTGTTTCACCTTTACATACCTGTTCTAATGTATCATGTTTCACCCATGACCCATTTACATAGGAAGTGGTTATCATTAAATATTACTTACATTGAAATGTCATGTTCATGTTCGAGATCTCACGAGAGCGTGAGGAAAAATGAAATTTGTGGTAACATTTCGCACTTGTACCTTCTGGTTAAAAGGTATAATAATTGTAAACGAATAATGAGAAACCAGATAACGAGTATATTCTTACATTTCTTACTGCTATTGTTACGCAAGTATGTTCTGCATGTTGTACAGAATTCAAAGAGGCTTTCAGCCTTTTCGACAAAGACGGCGATGGCACCATCACAACCAAGGAGTTGGGAACCGTCATGAGGTCACTAGGTCAGAACCCAACAGAGGCAGAGTTGCAAGACATGATCAACGAAGTAGATGCTGATGGTGAGTGCGGCGTGCGTGCGTGCGTGCGTGTGTGCGTGAGTGACCGAGTGAGTGAGTGAGCTTTGTTGTGCGTTGTCTAACGCCGCACTCAGCAATAATCCAGCTAAATTACGGCGGCCTGTAAATAGAGGAAACAGCGTGGGTCGTTTCTCACAATACAAATGGCATCCCGGAAAGCCAACGCCTTGGTGATGCGATGCTAGATGACCTATATTAGATGACCTACAGGAGTGTCGAGGTTAACATGTCATAATGGATTACCGATTAATACCCCAGTGTCTGAAAATCAATGCATAGTTTTATGTTTCTTCATCCTTATTGTTGGAGACAAACTGACACTCTACTTTCACCGACATACAACATTAACTGACAGCATGTCAACAATTAAATATACGCGACAAAACAATTTCCATCATCACAAGAAATCTCTACTAAATAGCAGAGACTAGAGAACGATTCCGACTTTATCATAAGTTTATATTTATGAATCACTATCAAATAGTGATGATACTAGGTGTTCGCGAGAACGTGAGCATGCTCTGCCTCACCGGTGGCACTTGTCACAAACACATGCACAGGCAAATCAATTGTTCACCTGAAAAAAAACACGGAAATGACCTCCACATGTATATCATAAATCTTTTTGAAAGTTTTGCTGAGGCCTTGACTGTTGTAACCTTAATCAGACCACGTTTCAGCGTGAGGCGTATTACGCTCTTTCGAAATCTTCGTTGAAAGAGCATGCTCGATTGTACTACACAAGTTGTGAAATGTCGTCACCAAAGGCTAAACCTTCTAGAATATTGCTCGACATAAAGGGAAAGTTGACATGTAGAAATCATCTGCATATCGTGTTCCGAAATAGTTCGTAAATTCAGAATACGTGAGTGAGTGAGTATGGTTTTTTGCTGCTTTTAGCAATATTCCAGCAATATCAGGCGGGCAACACCGGAAAATTGGCTTCAAACAAACTACCCATGTGGTGAATCGAACCCGGGTCTTCGGCGTGACGAGACAACGCTTTAACCACTAAGCTACCCCACCGCCCCTAAGAATAAATAATGCAATAATTAACTCGTTATGGTCAACATTTTGTTATACCTGTATTGTGTTCTAAATTGATCGAAACCGCTGGCAACAACATATAGTCAACAATTATACATTACAACGTCATTTCTGTTGTGACGTCAAGACACTAACCAAAACAATCAACAGTGGTGTCTGCAGTACGTCACAATGCCGTAGAGCTCACGAAGACCTTATAACACACGTTTTCTACGGGTTTTTTATGAACTCATTTTGAACAAAACAGATTAGAATATGTTTTTTAGCATATTTATGCTACTTCTGTTGACATGTTCAATTCTAGATTGCCCTTGCTTGCTTCACTGATTAATTTTACAAATGGAAGGCCCGCATTTTTAGATGGTTTACTCCAATTGAATAATGCAGGTTGGTGTTACTGCGTTACACACAGAAACTCGGGCTCTACACAGTAGTCTGTCAATTTCCCCTCTTGTTTCCCTGCAGGAAATGGAACTATAGATTTCCCAGAGTTCCTCACCATGATGGCGCGGAAGATGAAGGAGACTGACTCTGAGGATGAACTCAGGGAAGCGTTCCGAGTGTTCGACAAGGACGGCAACGGTTACATCAGTGCAGCTGAGTTGAGGCATGTCATGACAAACTTGGGCGAGAAGTTGACAGACGAGGAAGTAGATGAAATGATCAGGGAAGCAGATATTGATGGTGATGGACAAGTAAATTATGAAGGTAAGCGTATGAAAGTGCAAAAATACCAATTACCCTTGATATTATTGCATACCATAGCACGCAGTGATCACCTCTGCGCACTACAAACGTGAAATATAACTATAACCTTTTGGCATTAAAAGTGAAATCCGAACTGAAAAGCACTGTATCTCGCCTGATATTATATTATATCATTTACATTTATCAATATTTTAAGCATATACCAACCTCTTTAAACCCGCTAAACAGCAATATGATGGCTTCCCATTTCTGTGACCTGTAATGGTATGGCCCGCCTCCGTGGTCTAGTGGTAGAGCGTCCGCCCGGAGAGCGGAAGGTTCGGGGTTCGATCCCCGGCCGCGTCATACCAAAAGACGTTAAAAGATGGTATTGTTGTTACCCTGTCTGGCGCTCGGCATTAAGGGGCTAAAACAAGGACTGGTCGGCTCGGAGTCAGTATACAGTGTCTGAGTGGGGTATTCATGTTAAACTGCGGCATGGTATCTCAGTGAGCTAGCACTATAAATCGGCATCAGTCCGGACTAGTACAAGCAGCCACACAAACACACACACGTACATGCACGTCGCTATATAAGTGCAATAATCTTGGACGCGACGTTAAACCCAATTTCACCTCACCTCACCTGTAATGGTATGTCCTCAGATCTTTGTGTCGCGGTAGTGAGATCAAATTTTGATGAGATTGATCAAATCTAGGTTTAAACTATTACACTGAATATAAAGACCACTGTCAGATCTGATGACCCGTTCCACAAAGCGATCTTAGCGCCACAATGATCGTAAGCTTATGTTAAAATATGAAAGTAGCAATCACCTCAGAGCTAAGATCACTTCGTGGAACGGTCTCTGGAAAAGTAACAGCTGCGCAAGTCCAGTCAAAATGGTGTATTATCATCTCAATTACGCGAGTCCATGAAGCAGTTGTCATCTACAAACATATATAGCATCCTCCCGTTTATTTGGCCGCCTCCGTGGTTTAGTGGTAGAGCGTCCACCCGGAGAGCGGAAGGTCCGGGGTTCGATCCTTGGCCGCGTCATACCAAGAGGCGTTAAATGATGGTACTTGTTGTTACCCTGTGTATATTATGAATTCTATGATTGGTATGGAGCATATGTGATCTAGCCCCACTCAGAGACATCATCAGCTACGGTTTATGTTGCAGAGTTTGTACGGATGATGACATCGAAGTGATCTGGAAACCCTGTCCGGCTGTGTGGTTTGTCGTCATGCCCCTGGAACCATCTTATGTTGGGGCAGCTTTCAACTATACCTTTATGTCGTATGTTTATATATATATATTCGTTGGATTTCTTCGCATTTTATAAATTTTTCAAGATAAAATGCTAATCTTAAAGCAATCCGAGTTGGATCTACATGTTGGCAGCCTTTACAAGTTGTGATATCAACCAATCATTGTCGTGTATTGTCCTGTTACCTGATCACGTGACTATATGAAACAGCCAATCAGCGAAGAGCTTATAAGAGGTAGTGTCATGGTTGAATGGGTGCATGTGCTATTGGGACTGTCAACATACGAGATGAATGGGCATCATTTTCGTGTAGTGCGGCACCAATTTCGTCTTCGTCATCACCCAACTGTGTGCTGTCAGCAAATGGGTTGTAACCAGCGGCATTGGAGATATACATCAACTATCAAGAAACATCCTTCCACATAGAATCACTTCACCTCTGTCTATTATCACCTTCACCACAAAATCGATGGAATTACGAAAACGCCATGACTGAACATTAAAGGTGACATCAATTTTATCATCGTTATCATCTAAAATGAAGTGGAGTTTATTAGATAGCCACATACGTCTTCAATTTAAATATCAGGTAAAGCAACGCCGGGAAACGATTTCTCAAAATCTTCACTGGCATTGATTATTTGTAATCCGAATCTGTAGGCTAATATAATATTAATAATAGTCTACACGGCCCTACCATACTGTAATAGAGTAACTTCGGTAAATGATAAATGGATAAATGGTATCCCATGGCTACGGGTAATACACATGTTTACTTCCATGACAAATTGGGAGGTTGTTTTTTATTTCTCCATCTACTGCACTCTTTTCGTCATAGAAATATGCAATCATATGCAATTAATATACGTTATGGTTGTCACGTGACTGAGATGTGTCACAGCTCATGTCACATATTTATTGTTTACATCCATTTTTCCTTACCCCACATTCCAAATTTACAACGTTTGATAACTTATATATTCACACAAATATTTATACAGTGTTCTTTCGTGTTATGCTCTAATGGTGTAACCCCTATCGGCTGAATTCTAGCTTATGGTGGACCCTTGCGAATATATATTAATTTAAAGAAAGTTTTATCCCACTTTATCCACATTTTAAGACACCTTAAAAATAGAAGAATCAGTGATTTCTTCAATATCTTTTACTGCTATGGTAACACATGATTTAAGTTTGAAATAGGATTGTATTAAGATGACGCCGAAAACACTTGAACTTTAAAAGTCTTTTTCAAACTTCATTCTACTTCCTGTTCCCCACAGAGGTACAATGTGTGAAGCCCATTTTCTGGTGTCCCCCGCCGTGATATTGCTGGAATATTGCTAAAAGCGGCGTAAAACCATACTCACTGTCTGCATTTTGTTCATCGATGTATTTTCAGTTTAGTGTAGGGTATTGTCCTAACCGTGTTGTTACCGATATGGGTACATTGAATATGTCCTGCTTAGTCAGCTCTTTTGTTTGAATTCCTCAACATATATATATTCATGTACTTCTATCCTACAGATTTGCCTACTTACCAGATAACATTGTGCCTATGTATTGTGCAACTTTATACACACATTGGCGACTTACATGTGGCATATTCAAGTGTGGTCATTAAAAAATGGTTTTCCTACTTTATTGTATCTATATGTGTTTTGATGTGGCATTGTGTTGCTGTCCGTTGTATACAAGTGGTATGCTATGTGAAAGGTCTGCAGTGATTTATAAAATATGTATATGATAACGATCAGAGTGAAAGTGTCCTATTATTTTCTAAAGTTCTCTTTAGATATTATAAGTCATTTACCCTATAATCAGTTTAGTGTTCGTATGACATTTGGAGATCCCTAGATATACCTTTTTTTATCAGCAATTACATTGCCCAAATTCTCCGATATGTGCGATTAGCTTGATATCACGGACGTTAAATTTAATATAAGGTATCTTTTTCGAAAATAGATTTACATATTCATACAATGGCTTTCTCCGACATCGTTTATTAATTGATTTGTAAGGGATGAAAGACAAGGAAAGTATTCCATTTTTAAAAGAGTTTTGGAAAGATCTTCAAGGAACCCAACTTGCTTCTTCCTCACAAACTCCCAGCAAATTTCATCATGGTCGTAGCGACAGCCAGCTTAGCGAGTTTGTTATTGTCTGGTGGATGGGGCGTGATGGACGCATTATATATGCTGCAGCGGCTGCTTGAGCCTCGTACCTCTGTAACATACTTCATCTTGTACCATTGTGTTGGACATTTGCGACAACACGTATAATCCATTAAAGGTTTTGAAATTGCAGCCATATTTGTATCATTCTTTTTATTTTGGACATTGCAACATTAAGCAGAGAGCTGTACCGACATTATACACAGAGCTGTACTGACACTATACACAGAGCTGTACTGACATTATACACAGAGCTGTACTGACACTATACACAGAGCTGTACTAACATTATACACAGAGCTGTACTGACACTATACACAGAGCTGTACTGACATTATACACAGAGCTGTACTGACACTATACACAGAGCTATACTGACATACACACAGCTATACTGACGTTATACACAGAGCTATACTGACGTTATACACACAGCTATACTGGCGTTATAAACAGCTATACTGATATTATACACACAGCTATACTGACGTTATTAACAGAGCTATACTGATATTATACACACAGCTCTACTGAGATTATATGCACAGAGCTGTAGTGCCATTATGCACAGAGCTGTAGTGATATTGTACACAGAACTGTACTGACATTATGCACATAGCTATACTAACATACACAGAGCTGTAGTGCTAATATATACATAGCAGTACTGATATTATGCACAGAGCTGAAATAATGTTTACAGAGCTATACTGGCGTTATACACAGAGCTATACTGGCATTATACACAGAGCTATACTGGCATTATACACAGAACTATACTGACATTATACACGGAGCTATACTAACATTATACAGAAAGCTATGCTGACGACATTATACAGAGAGCTATACTGGCATTATACACAGAGTCATACTGGCATTATACACAGATTTATACTGACATTATACAGAAAGGTAAATTGACATTATACAGAAAGCTATACTGACATACACTTAAATATACTGACATTATGCAGAGAGCTATGCTGACATTATACGTAGAGCTATACTGACATTATACACAGAGCCATACTGGCATTATACACAGAGCTATACGGACATTATACACAGAGCTATACTGACATTAAACACAAAGCTATACTGATTGGACAGTACATGATACACGAGTAAGTCTCACTGAGCTTGCCATTTGTTCCATTATCTTGATTGTTTGCGAAGCGGCCAAGATCATCGCATTGTCACTAATGAAAATAACGTCACGCGAGACTTTGTGTGACGTCACTCTAACACATGGGGGTGTTTGTATGACGTTGTTCTAACGCTAAGGAAAATAACGTCACAGAGGGGTTTGTTTGACGTTGTTTTAATGCTTATGAAAATAACGTCTCGATGTTCTAACAATAGATTTAATTAATTGATCTCATCATTGGTGATGAAAAATCCAAAAGTTTCTACATTTAAGTGTTTTATATTGCAGTAATTTATATTTATTGCGGTTTGTATCTCTAATGATTCCTGTAATATTTAGCCAACACCTTCAACAAAGATGAAGGTCATATTTAGTATCTTCTCTCAATATGACTACAATAATACGATCTAGAACTCCCAGGTGTTAACATTCATTTCAAACCATGCATTACATTGTCATACTACATCATCCTCATAAGAAGACGACTGAAATGGCTATCGGGTGGTACTACTGCCTGACAATACGAATTCCTGGATTGGCGATAACATAGGACACATACCTAGTGTTTCTTCAGTCGAAGATTTGGGTTAGAATTGGTCTTCAGTAACCATGATTGTCATATTTGTCTTTGACTGACGGGATCGGGTGGTCATGCTCGCTGACTTGGTTGATGCATGTCACCGATCCCAATAGATCGATGCTTATGATGTCAATCACTGGATTGTCTGGTCCCGACGTCATGAAGCTGTAATATTGCTGAGTGCAGCGTTAAACAACAGACAGACAGGCCGACAAAGTCGATGCACGTGATATCAATCACCGGTTGTCTGACCCAGACTCATCCATTTACAGACCGCCATCACATAGATGGCATATTGCTGAACACTGCCATAAACACCATTTACTCACCAAACAACAATAAATCTATGTCATATAGCTTCATGGGACCCAGTTCAATCCAGATGCAGAATATTATTGAGTGTGTAAAAGTGCAAGTATGTTTTATTAATAAATTAATCGTCTTAGGGCTAAAATCCCTTTGGTGATCGGGGACCAGCTGCAGGGTTGATTTCATTCATGAGCTGTACAGCTGTGATATATCTGGCTGTACAACCCAATTCGGGCATCCGCTCGACGCCCACCGTCCCCGTACCCTCAGTGTCAGATCCACCACATTCCACACTACCAGTAATTACTGACGTGTAGATATTCACGCCTCGTTGTTTGTAGCATGCAATATTTATGAAGCAATCATCATCAGGAAACTCATGGATCGGGCAATACAATGGTGCAATCTAGGAAATACCCCACGATCAAAACACAACCCAAGCTCAGTAAAAGCTTTTATCCAACATGGATAATGGTTTTGAAAAGAAATATGCCGGTTGGAATTAGGCCGTATGTCAAATAACAATTTATAACAGCAACAAATAAATAATTACAAGGAAATATGTTTTTGAGACATCATGGGGAATGGCAGTCATATGGTTTCCCTTCAATGATGTGGAACTTGCGCGTAATGACCTTCCAGAAACTGTGCTGCTAGGACCATATTTCATTAATAAGTAAGGACAGCTACAGCGCTAGTTATTTCTGCAACCAGCTGTTAGATCCCATTGCCTGTTGACGTGTACGTTCATGCATGGCATGCTAGAGTGCAGAATATCTGACAGGCGTGAGACACATGTGGACGATAAACATCAGGGAATCTTGTTGACATGAATTATGAAGTTTAATGTCCCCCTGTTTCAGAGCATCACTTTTGGTGTCGTTTTATGTTGCTTGGAATTTATTTGGAACTTAACAACTGCTTTGAAAATAATTTTGTACAAGGAGCATGTGACCTTAGAGGATTTGATTAATTCATTCATAGTGACTCGCGTCGCCCGTAATTTAATTTTTATTGGACTTTTAGTGTCGTGTTATGTTGCTTAGAATATTATATATTATTAACTTAACAACCGTTTCGGAAATTATTTTTAGCATGACCCTGTTACCTTGCAATACTTATTATTTATTCATGAATTCGCGTCGACCGTAATTTAAATTTGCTTGGCAATAAAAAATATCTTATAAGTTGTAGCAGGACCACGAGGGGTATATGGGTTTTATGCGTCCCGCGTTAGGTTCTATACTACGAGCCGCAGGCGAGAGGTATAAAAAAGCTAACGTGGGACGCATAAAACGAGCCAAAGGTGAGTAGTATAAATAAACCTAACGAGGGACGCATAAACCCCATGTACCCCGAGTGATCCGGCTACAACGAATTGATCTAACCGACATTATTACAAAATAACAAAAAAATTGAAATTCATAGAAAGCAGCTGTTCCATTGAGCTGAGGTTAACTTGCGTTATGCCACGTGACCTCCATTGACTGGGTGGGGGGGGGACTTTTTGCATTGCTGCGGGGTATAAGGTATTTATTCTGTCTCTCAAGTACCCATTAGTCTGTCTTACAGACCCTGATACAAATATATATCAAAAACAGCCCATGCAAGTCTATAATGTTTGGCAAGTCTACATCACTGCAGTATCTGAAAATGAAGAGAGTCACTGGGCTCCTTTTTATTATATTTTTATTAAGATAACTGAACAACTGTTTTTTATGTAAGATGTGTTCATTTCAGAGACTAGATGTTAGTCTAAAGTACCTAGCCTGCATTGCTCGTGGCGGGGTATAAGAGGTTTATTCCCCCGCTGAGAAATATATTACCCTCCAAAGCGGGTAATAGGCAATGGACAATGGGCAAACGGGAGGCAAGGTAATTAACACTGATAGGTGGAAGGAAAGAAAAGGCAATGGGCAAATGGAATATGGGCAATAAAGAAGTTGACATCCATAAATTCTCTTCCTTATTGTATCAATTCTAAATGTCATCCAAAGACATGATATTAAATATTCTTATCTGCATCCAAACTGAGCCGGTTAATAAAAATGCAGGTGATAAGAATATTAAGTTAATTCTGCAATAATTCTTATATTAATTTTAGAACTCAATATCCATATACATATATCTGTTTGGTTGGAAGTATCTATTCCTTGTCCGTGAACATCCGGGTTAGAATAGGTCTTCAGCAACCCATGTTGCCGTAAGAGGCGATTATGCTTGTCGTAAGAGGGATCGGGTGGTCAGGCTCACTGACTTGGTTGATGCATGTCATCGTATCCCAATTGCGTGGATCGATGCTCATGATGTCAAACACTGGATTGTCTAGTCCAGACTCGATTATTTACAGACCGCCGTCATATAACTGTAATATTGGTGAGTGCGGCGATAAACAACCAACCAAACAATCTATTCCTTGTAAGTATACATTACTTGGAGTGTACTTTGTCGGTCACCCGCCCTAGGTCCTCGATGCCACAGGGAACTATATATAGTACATAGAATGCTTTGAGAGCTATGTTTATATCTTTGAAACACTGATCAATGAGTTCTCCAGGGTTGCATTATTTGTCTTAAACAATGATTTATGTCAGAGATATTACAACAGTAGATACTGACAATAAAACAGTAAACCCATTCGATTATTAGAAAATTAATAAGCCCCGAAACATAGTTAAAGGCCCCTTCACACATGGCTGCGACCTTTGTGCCACCTTTGAGCGATCAAAACCTGGCCACGACGCTCAATGGTCGCCTAAACCCAGACAATCATGTTTCTATGTAACTGCTCCAGCAGTTGCTCAGCAGTAACTGCTCGAGTTGTTCAGCGTCTGCAACCACAATGAAACACTGCAGGTACAAGCCCTCTATTTATAGGCAGGCTGAGGAGGCACTACAGGTAGCTCAAAGGGGGCAGAAAGGAGGTGTCTCAAGGGTTGCCGTGGTCGCCGAATGAAGGCACGGCGGTCGCCACATTCATCGTTCAATGCACGCTGTTAATCGCTCAAAGGAGGCACAAGGGAGGCAGAAGCATCGCCCAGATTGACGGGAAAATATTTCCTCAGAACGCATCTATTACCTGGCGACCAGTGG